TAGCGCAGTTCAGTGCCAATGAGAAAGGCTAGAGCAGCCACAACCAAGCGGTCATTCCTACGTGTCAACTGATTTATGCACACCTTTGCCTTCTGAAAAGCAACCTGAAACCATCCAGTGAGCAGGGGGGACCGGGGAGAGCAAAGGGAGCCAGAGGACCACTCCCCCATGCCATGACAGGGACCGTGCCCTGCTTCTTGTGAAGCTATGGGTTGGAGAAGCACATCAACCCCCACATCTGGCTTCCATCCCATGTGCCCTGACACCTGCCTCCCACTCAAGCAGAGGACAGGCATATCCACTGCGTGAACATCTTTCCTTCCAAGGTCACGTTCAGGTGGCTGGGGGCTGAGGAAGCCTGCTCACATCTGGGATGAGGACCTGCATGCATCGCCAACAGCAGCAGCTTGCCAGCCTCCTCCTGGATCTTGAAAAATGCTTCAAGCAACCGGAACAAAAATGATGCCACTCTCAGCTAGTCAAATTTAATTTACTTCATTATGCCATAAACTGATTTTTTTTCATTATCCACAGAGACTTCCAGGATGAGTTAAGACTCACATGTGCAATGGGAATGAGACAAGCAGTAGAAATAAGATAAACAACTGAAAAAAAAAAAAATCCCTTTAAAGTTATTCAGGGGCTCCAGGGAGGAAGAGAAGGAAGAAGGAAAAAGCCGACAAGCCTATTTCCCATCCTTTCTTTAGATCACCTTTATATAGCACCTGACTGCAATAACACAGCTAGCAATGGCCCCTCCTTTTGTTTGATGGCTTTTGTAAATACGAGGTTCAAACAGTGGCTCTAAAAAGTCTTGGCTGATGAGTTTTTGTGAAAAATATTCAGATGTTGTGCCCTCCCACTGTGTGTCCTTAGGTAAAGCTCCAGCTGATCTCAAAGCTAAAACTCTTTCATGCTATTTAAATATGAACACTATTACTTTTTCAAAGCATCTATCGTTTTCATCAAAGCAGAGCTTCCTGATGAGATCCTGCCATATAAAAATTTATCAGCAGCACAGTACCCCAAAACACCACCAGCATTCCACAAGCAGCCCAAAGCGGACGCGAGGGAAGAGCTCAGCTCTGCTGAGGGCCATGATGTCAGGGCCTCTCCTCGCAATATGCAAGGAGCGATGCTCCCGAACAGTTACAGAACAAAATATCCTGAAAAATACCCTCACATACCAGGAGACCACTAGAGAAATGTTTAAAAGTACTTCCTCTGTAATAAGAACTAGGTCAATGCATCTTATGAAGGAGGAAGTGGCTCTGTGCTGGTGGCAACGGCGTAATTTCTAGGCTGGTGATCAGCACAAATAGCCGACTGCAGGTGGAAGACTTCTCTAATTTGGATGCACAGTGGTCTGAAAGCTTTTGGGGGAGGAGGGAGAGTTTGCTACAAAGACTTACCTGGAGACCTTTCAGACTGGCTTATGAGAGCTGAAAGTGAGGCAAGGAAAAAATGACCAACTCTTCATTTATTTAAAACAATATGACACAGGGGTCAGCTGCACAAAGTGAAGGTTGGGCCAAATTCCCACTTAAGGACACTATGAACTGGAGGTTGCACAGCATCCAAGAATGGAGCCTGTTACGAGTTCAGGGAAAAAGAGAGGGTGTGGGTACATCACCAGTATCCACAGGGCCACCGCCCGTGTCAGGGCAGGGACAAGGACTGCAGTACTTCAGCACAAGTAGGGACGCAGTGCTTAAACAGGTAAATGCAGATCTTTCTGCTTCAGAGAAGGAAATCCCAGTATAAACTCAAAAGTACCTGAGTGCAACAATAGTATATGCAACTTCAAGCTCAAAACAACATTAAAAACTCTTTTCAAATTTAAAAAAAACAGAAATTATACAAAGGAAGAACCAAAAGCGGAAGACCTGACACGAGTAGAGCCCAAACCACACAGCCATCCCCGTAATTTGCTCCACTTACCACTTCTTGCTGGTAAGCTGTACTTGCTCATACACCAATAGAAATTAGCACCTTTCCATCTCAATGAAAGGCAGGCACGTGGATTCTTCAGAGACACCTTACCAACGTGGGCAGGGGGAAAGGAGAGGAACATGCAGGGCTGGAAACATTTATAAGGCACTAGAAGTGAAGTAAGACAAAATAAATAGAGGGAACCCAGCTGTAAACCGTACCAGATTTGCCACAAGTCCACGGTCAGCATCAGTGGCGCAGAAGTAGTTCAGAACAGACAGTATCATCTACTATTAACACAGAGGTAACTACAAGACCAAATGATTTGAAAATGTCATGGTGAGCAAGCAAACCTCGACTGAAGGACAGTCTGAATACTAGTATTTAAAAACCAGGAAGACCAGTAAATCCAGAGATTCCTCTTTCAGGTCTATTACATCTCAAAAAAAAAATTGAAACACATTCAGATGCCAAACACAGCAACAGACATGCTTAGACAAGAACCAAAAGCACTGAAATATAGCCTTTTTTGAAGAAGAAATATGCATCACCAGCAAATCACCCGGCCCAGAACTGCAGCTGGTTCATGGTAACAGCAGATTTTACACCTTTTAACTACTAAGATTATGCTAAGGGCTCCAATCCTACTCCTAGAATTGCTCACGTCTCCCAGACTTTGCAGCACAGAGGTTAGGACTGGGTTCGACAACTATTGGTATCGGTTTAGGAAGTACGACAATTTCCTGCCGACCTCAGGAGTAAATTGGGATAGGGTACATTTCCCCCCTCTGCCCCCAGCAAGCCCCCTACGTGTTCTGCGTGAAATAAGCTGAGAAAATAAGCACTGGGACTTCACTTTAAACTTTTTCTAGACAGCAGATCCTATTTCTTTACACTCCGCTCCACAAAGTGAGTTAAAGAAGTATATCCTTAGTCCAGCAAAGTACATCTTAGTCAACCATAAAGGCAAAATAAAGAATTGAACAAGCACGTCCATTGCTCTCAAACGTTTGTGCCACCCCCTTTGTTTGGCACTGTTCCTTGCACGGAAAGGCAGCGCGGCCGCCCGGTTCGGGTAAGCCTCAGGAACAACCTTGCGAAGAGCTAGCGTCGCCATCGTGTGGCAACCTTCAGGAACAAAACCCGGCTTCTGGCGTGCGCTGTATCCCCCTGGCTTTAAGAAAAGGACAAACCAGGACTGAAAGGAAGGCGGACTACCAACGCTACAGAGCTGCAGAAGGTTTCAGAGAGGTTTCACGAGTTGCTAAAAGGAGCACCAGGTGCCGCTCACGTGGAAGATGCTGTCAGAAAAACACAGCGCAGGTACCCAAGACCGGTATATTCTGTTAGTTTTCTTCTCCCCTTTCCTGCGAACTGGCGGGCTGCCCTCCCTCTAGGCATCTTTTGTACCCTGACAAGGCTCCTGTTCAGGAAAATGACAGCTGCTAGGCAGCTTGGCAGGTTACGGCACTTTGTATCATGGAAATATTTCAGATCCCCCAGCAGCTGCCGAGTGGTACTGGTGGGAATGAAAACACTGGATAAATTGCTGCAGTCACAGCCAAAGTTATTCTTCGGAAGCAAGTACCTTTAAAAATGAGCAAATAATGTAGAAAAAACATTTGTGAGCTCATTATGATTGAAGGCACATCTATTTTCTCTCCAGGCACTTCTATCAATTTTTCCCCAGTCTTCTATAACTGAACTTAACAGTAGTACATAAAAAACCCAAAACCCTAAGGAACAACTCTTTCACCTTAAAAGACCTCCAGGTTGATACACCTTTCAAGTTACTTTCAAGAGTTTCAGAGGTCGATTTAATCACTTTAAAATCCAATTTAAAATTAAGATCTCCAGATGCTTGAACATGGGGTTTAATCCCAATTTGCATCATTCCTGATTTTTTTTTCCATAGCTGTTATATCCCTCCGTATCAACCATGTGCTTGAACTGAATTTCCAAAGGCATATAAATAGCTCACGACAACATTGTATGGTTTTAAGTCTTTGAGCACGCAGATGCCTAATTCTGGCTGAAACAAGCCACACTAGCCATGGAACTACTTAAAAGCACACATTTGTGAAAGCACATGCTTATCAGTATATTTGACAATATATATTTGAGTATATATTTAAAGGTCTTACAACCTTCATTTTTAAAAATATATATTCTCCCTCCTCCGTTTTATATTTGACTGTAAAAATAATTTGCTTTTCCATTACCAGAGATCTCAGACTTCCACAATGTCTTCATTCAATATGAAGGCAACGTATCCCCTGCCAACAAACTACACAGGAGAAAACACAGGAAAAGATGGATGCTGACACTGAAATATGTAAACATTATTTTGTAGTGCAAAGACTAAACCGAGCACTTCGGTGTTTCAGATGGATTGAGTAATTTTTAGGTCATGCCCCCTTTTACTTGATGGTTTTGATTAAAAAGCGGGAATTATATGCTGCATAGTAATTAGGCTCAGGTCTTGACAAACTCTTAACGCTAAACATTCTGAAAAGCAAGCATGCTTAAACACGAGTCACCAACTTCCATCTTGCTAATATGGCACTACATGTTGTAACTGCGCTCACAGGACAACTGTGGTGTTAGACATCTGAAGCATGTAAGTATTCCAGGTCACTACGTAAAGAATAGCGGATGTTTTTTTAGAGAACATGGGAGTAATTTAAAGCATTTAAACAGCAATTTGTCAGTCTTTCAAACACTGACATACTTACATTCTAACCAGAACACATACTTCGGTTTATGCCTTAATTTATACAGAAAAATCGGTGTAATTGATTATTTCTCATATTCCACACTCAAGACTGCGTAAGTGATTCTGTTCATTCCCAACCATTTCAAGAGCAGACTGCTTTAAAACATCAGGATCCAACCTACTTCAAATAACTGGGTATGCAAATATTTCAACTGGCATCGGGTACGGAGTACTGAGCACAGTCTGTATGGTCAACTTCACAGAACATGACAAAAACATTTCTGCGTGTTCCTGGGAAACACTAGAACCCAACACTTGGACATTAATAAATGAGACAGACAACAATTCTTGGTCACAAGCAAAAATGAACTTATGATTACAATTTAAATCAGATGTTTAACCATTTGTTAATTTTAAAGAATCAGGACAAGGACACAAAGTCATACGTAACGAGAAGTTCATTTTATTTCTGCGCCTTCGGTGCCTTCTGCACCTTCTCTGACTTCGGCGCTTTCTCCGACTTCTCTGGCTTCTCTGACTTCTCTGGCTTCTCTGGCTTCTTGCCTTTTTTAGAAGACATCTTCTGGAGCTTCTTCATTTCATGCTTGATGATCCTGTTTCTCTGTAAAAAAGGAAAATGTTTACTATTAATCAGAACGAAAATAACAACGGCTCCAATATTATGCCTTAATTTAAATTCTAAGCTTTCAGATTCTGCCCTTTTGGTAATTACCCTTTGCTAACCAATTATATTTATATTATATAGTCAAAAGATTTACCGTGTATTACATTTAAAATGTCAAATTCCACCTAAAACTGTTCTGATCTACCAAGTGGACATCATTCTGGCTGGTAACTTGGGCACCCCAATATTTGACGTGTAATGACTTTCATTATAGACTAACTATAGAAATACTAACAGTAACCCATCAAGAATATCCGATTTCATCAGCAGGTAATTCCTTTCTCAGCTTAACTTGGAGGACTGACACACAGATCACGTGGGTTCAAGTCTGATCAACTACTGAAGAGAAAGCGGTGGCCAAAGCAGCATGAAAAATTCAAGGCATTCGCATACTTTGTGTCACTCCGTAACCCAAGCCAGCTATAAAAGTAAGGCTACTAACATCTGTATGTGACTCTGAAGTGAAAGCTACAAGCATTACCCCATAAAGAAGCAACACTCAAACACTTACCATTTTCTTTGCTTTCATAACCTTGTAGCGATCAAAGTCAGTCATTTTGGCTTTCTGTTTGAAAAGAATCAGTCATGAAGCTCTGATATATACATACACAAGTACAGTAAAACTCAGTCTTTCAAAGCATTCCACAGGTAACTCTGATCATCTCCAAATTAGGTTTAGTTGCACATCTGGAACTAGTTCACTACTTAAGGACTTTGCTAGAAAGCTATGGTGCAAGAAAAAAGGTGGTTATAGAAATGCCTGAACAAAACCACATCTACTGTTAAAATACAAGAAGGTGAAGCTGATAGGTAGCAACTTTTAAAAAAATCTATGCCTTGTCTAACTTTAATCTTAGCCTGCAATTGAAAACACATAGATTATTACATTGTGCCTAAATTTAATAAGCAGAAGCAGTACAACATGTATTACCCATTCAGTGAAAAACCGTACCTTTTCTCGGGCTTCAATCTTCTTTGCCCATCTTGTCGCTGCCCATTTTTCATTTATATTTTCCTTCTCCCAGGCAAGTCGCACACACTTCTGACGAGCACTGCAGCAGAACAGTCACAAAATTATATTCAGTGTCTTTATAAAAAAAGGTTCTCTGATGCTGGCCCATCAAATTTCATACAAGGGAAGATCACCCTTCTACATTACTTCAGACACTTACTTTAAGTCAATGCCACATACATCTCCATGGCCTAATTAACATTTCGATGTGTAAATGCTTTGCTAGGACTGACAGATGAGCAACTCCAAGAGGCATATTCACACACTGTTCCTAGCACTGCTTTAGAATCAGAAAGGCAGCAATTTTTGTTTCTAAATTACAGAAACTCATACAGTAACTAAGCTAAAGAGAACAGAATGAGTTCAGCCTCCTGCAATTCCAGTGTAGTTCTGTAGGCAGGGAACATATTTAATGTCTGAAGGTGACCTAAGCAGTAGCAAAAGCAAAGCTGCACAGTATTTACTGCAACTGCTTCCCCCCACACCATCCACCCCACAACTATCTGCAAGTTGCCTATGCCAGTGTGACATTTCCTTTGCTCCTGAACAGCGGTTATCAGCCAACATTGGTAATGAAAACTTAACTACGTATTAACTATGTATTCAACTATGATAACATGGTCTGCCAAACTTTTACTGTGCAGACATGTTAATCCATTGACTCGTATGAACTTTCTAGATTTAGCAAGCATCAGATCACACAATTCAGTCATCAAGTGACAGCCTGGTTTTTTTACGTGGGTCAAAAAAATGCCAACAATTCACCTGTGTGGGAACTTGAGAACAAAGTCAGTCAGCTGCATGCACTTGAAGGGCATAGCCTGCCTTCTGACACCACTGCAGGGGCCATCAACTAGTGCCTGAAAAAGGAAAACAAACATGGGGGTTTTGTAGCAGTTTTCCCAACATACTTGATTTAGACAGCAGCTTCCTAATAACGTACGAACAGTATCTCGATAACAATGGTCCAAAATTGAAATAAACGTTACGCAGACAAAACCCGAGATTGTTAAGTCTTGCATATACAACCCAAGCTTTACAAAAAGAATTTTAAAGGCCCATCTTTGTCTTCAGAAAAAAACCAAACTGAACTTTAAAAGAAGCACACAGAACTAAGATGATATACTTCATCCTTCCCCCCCCCCAGCTTTTTCAGGAACATTAAGCGAAAAGAGTCCCCTAGCCCAAACTTTTGCTTTGAACATACATTAACAACATTCCATTCCTAAGTTTTAGACTCCAACTGATAACACTTGTCCACTTCTACTCCTAGGAGACATAGCAGAGAGGGGAATCTGTCACTTGCCAGTGAAAAAAGCTTGCTACTGAAAGTTTCAAACACAACAACAGCTGTTACATCCCATCTTTTTGTCAATTGCTTATTTCTTTGAAAAATCTATTCACAGAAAATTTCCTTTAAAATCGACACACTCTGTCTTAGTGTACAAGCTTCTGTTAAGGCAGAAAGGAAAAAATAAAGGTACAGCACTCATAGCTTACCCTGTTTTGGTCAATAACATCCACAATGGCCACCAGCTTGCCAGCATGCGGCCCAAAGGAAATGAAGGCAACTCTGCCAATCTCGACGAAGCGTTTGAACACCTGAGAGCAGTAAGAATTGACAGGAGTTAGGCGAGAATAAACCTAAGGCCACTGCTCGATCCAAGGCTCTCACGGCCTTCAAAACAGCTTCCCAGGCCTTCCAACTGCACAAAACCCCTTCGCTTGAGCCAAGGGCCCACGGTAACGCCCTCAACTACTTTTTGCCGGCCCTGGCCCCGCGTGGAGGCCGCAGGCAGGCGGAGGAAGAGCCGCCGGGGAGCAGCAGGGAGCCCCGCGGGGCCGCGAAGAGCCAGGGG